CCTCAATCCGGTCTGCTCTCCTTGCCTCCAGAGTGGGCCCAACCCGCAGGTCATTGCTGAGCGGGCATAAGGCAGCGCCGGAGCCCGGGATGGTCTGATAGGTCTGCGTGAGGCCCAGAGGATCCGAAGTATGTGACCACTGCCACTCCATGGCTGCCACTCCAACCTTGGGGACAGCTGTTGTGCATCAGCTTCCCCATCTGTGAAATGGGGATATTAAGGGTAGGAAACACAAGGTGGCCGAGAGGACTAAGGGTTTGCTACGTGCAAAACACCCACAACCATGCCTGACCCTTCCATCACCTGCAGTAAATGGCAGGGATGATTATGATCGTTTCTATTCCAGCTGGGGGACCTTAGGCACCTTCTGATAGGCCTAGTATCTGGAGATGGGAGATGAGAGATGAGCTGACTTTGGCCACAGGTCATCGCATGGGGACTGTGTGCTCTGTGATGTTGCCCACAGGGCACGTGCTGAAAGCTCTCCCCAAGTTCAAGGCCCGAGACGTTAAGTGAGAGGTCTGAGTGGGTATGGCCAATAAATGGGTCCCAAGGGAACCCTCCACGTGTCTCATTCAGCACGGGGTCTGCATCCAGACGTGGGCTGGACACCACTGGGGTGCATCCCCACACTTGGCTTTGGGGCGACCCCTGGGGTGGGGCTGAGGCCGGGGCACTGAGCACTCAGGTTTTCCCTCGAAAGCCAGCAGACTCAGCGGACTGTGATGCTTTCCTGTGTGTAGGAACGGTTTTTACAAGACTGATGTCTGGGAGAGCTGGGCTGTGACTTCTGTGCATGTCCTGTGTGCGCGTGTGTGCGCACGTGTGCATGTGTGGGCTTTGAACTGGGGAAGGGGCAAGAAAGAAGGCCTGGATGGCCCGGCCTACCATCTCACACATTGCCTTGCTCTGTTCCTTCTTCCCACAAGACGTGTGTCTCCTTATCTCTCTCTGTCCATTAAAGGGGTCCCCATCCTTCAGAGTCCATCTTGACTGTCACGTTCTGTCTCAGATCCTCTGCCCCTACTGGAATGTTCTCCGTGCGGGCTTTGTGCTTCCCTTACGGCCTTGAGCCAAGTTGGGCGCCATCCTGTAGTTCTTTGTAGGCAGGGGTTTTGCCCTCGATTCAACTGTAAACTCCTTGAAGATGGTGGGGGCCCCTTCCTTCCTCACATCTCTCTTCACATATGACATAAGCTCTCACACATGGCCAGGGCTCAGTGGTGGATTTGGAGTCCCCCCTTGAAAGGGGGCTCCCAGCTGGCTGTCCGTTGCTAATTGCTGGCCTTGTGACCAGGAGGAGGTCACAGAACCGGGAAGGTTGAGGAGCATGAGTTGGAGAAGAAGTTCGTATGGGGTTGGGAAGGTCACTGGGCGGTGTGGGGAACAGCAGAGCCCGAGTGCCGCCTCATTCAGGAACCTCGGGCAATTTTTAATGGTAGGACCAGCTCTGGGCTGTGAGCTGTGAGCAGCACTTCACAGCGATTGTCCACAGAAGAACCCGAAAAGGAGGGGAGTGTGTGCCCGGTTCGAGGACAAAGTGAAGGCCGAGTTGCGTTCCCCCGCCCCCCAGGTCTGGCTGGCACACCCACTGTCTGGCACACCGTCTCCAAAGACATGCAGCTTCTCTGTGCCTTTGTTCCTCCTTTAACCACGAAGGTGTTGAACAACGGGGCCTCCAACGGCCCAATAACCCGAATGTTCTCTGACTTTTCCTCTGGGGGGCTGAGGAGGGTGCAGATGAGAAGGCAGGCCTGGTCGAGGGGAAATGGGGTCAGGCCTCTAGTTGCTTCCAGGCCTCTAAGAAACAGCAGAAACAACTGCCCACCAGCATGACCGTCCCTCTTGTCGCTCATCTCCTGGGATCAGCGGTATCTGAAGATAAGGGCGGGGAGGCCCCTCCTAACTAGCAGCCGGGAGGGCCAGCATTGCACCTGCCAGGCCCCGGCCCCCCTCCACCCACCTGCTCTCCACTCTCCCTCTCTCCTCCCTGCCCCTGCCCTCCCCACGGACGGCCTTTCCTGGCCTTTCTTCCCCCTCCCTGTTAATCCTGGTCCGGCTCAGGTGACAGATCACCGTGGGGCTTGGCTTGACACCGAAGGGAAGGGGTGCTGTCAGGGGAGAGCTTGTGGTTTCTTTTCTTAATGAGCCCTTCGTCCCCACCTCCCTCTCCCTGCCGCTCATTTGCCACGGTCTAGACTGGTGATGTGTCTTTGTGCTCCCTCCGGGAAGAACAAAACACAGAACACAGCAGCTTCACTGTCTTGGGAAGGCCAAGGTTTGGGTTTTCCCCTTTGCTTTTTGAACCCTGTTTGGAATCTCCATAGCCCATCCTGGAAAGGAAACCTCTCACCTGGGCTTTCCGTCCCCAAAGTTGAACACAGGAGGGGATGGCCCACCAAACCCCGCTCCCTGGGGATGCGGCCAAGAGCGCTGGGTGGGTCACGTGGCGCCCAGGGGGAGCAGAGTAGGGCTGCGCGAGGGAGGGAGCATCTGGGGCTTCCTTCCTGGCAGGCTGTCCTTTTGCAGCCCAGCCTGCTGCTCTAGCCCCCACCCCTGCTAAGTCAGCTCCGAGCTCCTGCTGCCAAGGGACCATCCCTGCCAGCCTGAGCCCCGGCCGTCCTTCTGCTCCTTCGCCCTGGGCACCTGCAAGCCACTCTCTTCTTCTCTGCTGTCACTAGTCTGTCTCCCCAGCATCACCCCCACTTGGCTGCTTCTGTTCTCTGTTCTTCAGGATCCCCTCCAGGGCCCCCCCCAGTTCGGGTTTCATGCACAGGAAGGACCCAGTCTGCAGGCCGGCTGGTGCATTCACAAGGAGCCGCTGGTGTCCTCAGCTCTGACCTGGGGCTACGCCCCGCCCCAAGATGCTGGGCGCCAGGATAGCTCCCGGGTCGGAGGTGGCCATGGCCACGATCTTCGTCCTCACCCACTCTGATGATGTCTTAGGTCATTGGCTCTCAGTGCCGTCAGCACACATTCTTCCAAGTCTGCGGATCTGGAGCCCAACACCATAGCGATTCCCTGGAGTCTCGAGTCATCGGCGTTTGCTAGTGCCGGGGCCGGGGCCGGGGCCGAGGGCTCTGGGTTTTAATTCAGTCCCGAGCTGATGCAAGTGACGAAGTGGAACAGGGGGTGCGGAGGGGACCAAGTCCTTCTGTTGGGTCTCCCCTAGCTCGTTGATGTCTCACGGATGCAGGGCATCCAGCGGAGCAGTGGGACTCGGTGGGCGAGCACGTGTATGCACGTGAAGAGCAGAGCCGAGTTAAGAAGGGACATATAGGAAGATGGGAAGGGCGGAGAATCCGCAGCCCGGCCCTTGTCGGGGGGTGAAGGAGCCCAGGAGCACTCAGGGGAGATGTGGTGATCACCTGACAAGGTGGTGCCCTGCTGAGGACGGCCTGGCAGGATCCCAAGGGTGTGGCACCTGGTTGGGCTGGAAGCGCCACGCCAGAGCCAGGGCGGGTCCGAGGTAATGTGGCTTGCCAGGGATAGAAGAATGGGGTTTCTGTGCTGCTTATCAGGTTGGTGGCTCCCGGACAGGATGTGGAGGAGCCTTCCACAGCCCGCCTGGTGGATGGCTGCAGTCAGTGCTGTGTCACCATGAGGACTTTGGACGGGGAGCCCCACCTCTGACTTGCTGGTGACACGGGGCTGGCCACTCTGGAGTTAGGCTGGGGGGATGGCGTGCGCCTACCTGTGCACAGGGCGGGGCAGGCGATGGCCGTGGGCACCGAGCCCGCCACAAAGGGCTGTTTCCACGGTCAGGAGAGGGATACAAGAACTGGCCAGACACTTTGTGATCTTCCTCGTGAGAGAAACCTTGATTCAGGGCTTTGCAAAAGGCCAAGAAAGGTTGTATCCACTTACCCAGCTGGGAGTGGGGAGGGGGTACTGGAAAAGTGTCGGGGAAAAGGATCACCCCTTCGAGGGTCTGTTTGAGAAGGCAGGGCAGGGGCCAGTGAAATATTGGCAAACGGACCCTTAAGATTCATTTCTTAAAAAGAAATATATTTCGAATGCCCCCATGACACTGATAGCAGAAGCCTCTAGAACAAGCTGTATTTCTGCCCAGGGCTGGTGGGAGCTTATAGGGTCCTGTAACTCGAGCAGGGCTGGACGGTGTTATCCAAAGCTGGGTTTGGATTCCTAGACCTGGGACCCAAGAAGTGAGAAGTAAGACTCTTGACCCTGATCCCAAGGCCGGCCCTTTTCACCCTCTGCAGATAGTGGGCAGTTTGTCCTCGAGCCTGACCAGTTCCCAGAGCCCAGCCGCTCTAAGTCCCGTAGGAGCAGAGGAGGGAGGATCTCGGTGAGCACCGCAGGGGCCCAAAGAAGTGTGGTGCCCGGGCCGGACCTGCAGGGTCGGTGGGATAGCCAAGCCCAGCAGATCAGTGTCCCTGTTGGAGTCGGCTCAGTACTCCCCTGTCCCGTTCCTGAGGTTGCCTCTCAGTAAAACGCCACATACCCATCTCCATGCCGTAGGGAATAAAACCACAAGGTACTGAGCACCTCACACGTGCTGGGAACTTTACAGGCATGAGGTCACTGGGCCACGTGGCCGTGAGCAGTCCTTCTTGGGAGAGGTTGCCATCCCCAGGCAAGCCCGGCTGTGCTATTCGTAAGGATCTGAGATGTCCAACGGCAAATGATTTGCACAAAGCTATGCGGCTAAGGGGCAGACCCCGGTCATCCTCATGCCCAGCCAGCACGTTCTCTGCTTACTGCGGCCCCATAAAGCTCGAGCATCCCTGGGGACCAGGGACAGCAGGGAGGGGTGGACGGTCTGCGTCAGCCCATTCATCTCCGTGTGCCCTGTACCTTCACGCATGCCCTGAACTCTCTCCTTCCTGCACCTGCCATGGGTCTCAGCTGGATCTCTCACACCCAAGGACGGCGTTGGGTCTAGGCGAGGGGGTCGTGTGTGTGCGTGTGCGTGTGCATGTGTGTGTGTGTGTGTGCGTGTGCGGGTGTTGCCTTCATGTGCCTTCTTGCTCTTTCAGGAATTTAGCCATTGGAATCGGGATCCAGAATTTCCCAGAGGGCCTGGCTGTCAGCCTCCCCTTGCGAGGGGCTGGCTTCTCCCCCTGGAGAGCCTTCTGGTAAGTGCTCCAGAGTGTCCGCTCTCAGAGGCCGGGGTCGTGTCTGATGTAAAGCTCAGAGCAGTCTTTCGTACGGGGGTTCTTTCTCCGAGAGCTACCTCTTCCCACCTGGAAGTGACCCTGGAGCTTCTGCTAAAATGCCGACAATCTGTTTGAATCCTGCGCCCGCAGGCGTGGAAGGAAGCTCAAGAAACTCATCTCTTGACCTTCGACCTTTACATAAACCAGCCCCAATGGTCAATGTTTCCTATTTCAAAATGCCTCCAGGTATAGCCACGCCATGCCCATTCAGTGTTGGGTTTTCTCCCTGTCGAGTAGGAAGTAAACCAGCATCTACTCTCAATGTCACACGCCTTTACGTAGGCCCATCCAACCACAGCCTATCTCCAAGAGTCATTACATTGGCCCGGCTCAGAACCCTTGTCAACGTGAAGACCAGGACTGTGTCAGCAGGGTCTGGGAGGTGATGCCTCTGGCGCCCAGAAAACGCGTTTTCATAGTCCCCGTGGCCTTTCTAGTCTATTCCTTAATGTTACTTTTTTAGTGACACGTAAGGTGAGTCCTCACTTTTCAGAGGGGAGAACCGTGGCCCAGAGTGTCAGATGACCAGCTCTCGGTGGTGACTCCGAAACTAGAAGTCTAATCTGTCCCTCAACTCAGGACTCCGAGCCCCAGAATACCTCTTTGTTAAAGCAATCGCCACTCCAGAATGTACGGTGAGGGCGTTTTAAAAGACTGCTAATAACAACAATTGAAAAATGCCTTCCATTTTATGGGACCTTATGACTTACAAGTTCTTACACATACTTAAATTATTTTTTTTTTTTTAAGATTTTATTTATTTGAGAGAGAGAGAATGAGAGAGAGAGAGCACGAGAGGGAAGAGGGTCAGAGGGAGAAGCAGACTCCCTGCCGAGCAGGGAGCCCGATGTGGTTCTCGATCCCGGGACTCCAGGATCATGACCTGAGCCGAAGGCAGTCGCTTAACCAGCTGAGCCACCCAGGCGCCCTAAATTATTTTATTTTACCCTCTCTTGTCTCTTCCTCCATTGTTGGAATCTACGGAACAGAGGACGGGGTGAGGGCAGGGCAAATGGCCTTAGAGATGTGGTTCAAATGTGAGTTCCAGGAGCCCCAAAGCTGTGACTCTTATTTCCTACAGGAGGAGCACCACGGGACAGGAGGCGAGGGAACGGGGGGGCCTCGTGCTCAGCATCTGGACCCCAAGACTGAACTTTTTTTCTTCTCAGTCCAGTCTGGGCTTGACGTCAAACTCACTTTTTTCCCCAAAGTGACAAAGCTGAGGCCGGGAGTTGTACACACACCACAGAGCTGCAAGGTCTGCCAACCTGTGCACACAGCATAAGTGGTGTCCCTTTAGAGGGTCCTGCAGTGTAGACAGTGTCTCCCCCATGCCAACCGTCTGCTCCTGGCCACGGAGAAGCAGGGGGAGTGGGGGGCTTCACGGCCCTGTCCTGTCACTGGGGAGGCCAGCTGGACATGGAAATGCCCCAGGGCACTTCTGGGTTTCCCTACCCCCATTTTACAGATGGAGAGATTGAGGCTCACAGGCAGTATATCTTGCCAGATGCCCACACCCGGGATAGTGGGAAAGATGTTCCAGCTCCCCTGTCTGTTGGTATTCAACCCAACAGCCGGCTGGGCTCAGCTGTGGGGATCAGGTACCAGCTTCTCTCCTGCTCTCTGAAGCCTCAGGGCTCACGTGGGCTGCTGTTTTTGTCAGGGCTCCTGGGATTGCAAGCCACAGAGACCCACCTGCTCAAATAAAGGGCTTCTTCTTTTAAATGAAGAAATCTCACCTTAATCCAAGATGGGGGTAGTGGGGGCCGGCCTCAGGAGACACCGGGCCAGGTAGGTCCACCTCTTCAGCAGAGGGGTGTGGGTGCAGCTCCTTCGGAAGGGGTGCAGAGGTGGCCCGAACCCCCAAACCTAGCAGGCACAGCCGTCCTTGGGAAACGTCCGCACCACTCCTAACCAGTGTCCTGCCGGTCAAGAGACAATGCCGACATCGGCTGGCGAACGGATAGAGAACATGTGGTGTGTCTCTACAGCGGGATATTACTCATAAAAGGAATGAAGTGAATGCCGATATTGTGTTACGACACGGGCGCACCTTGAGAACATTATGCGAGATGAAATAGGCCAGCATTGCATGAGTCCCTTTATATGAAATATCCAGAATAAGCAAGTCCGTAGAGACAAAAAAGCAGATCAGTGGTTGCCGGGAGCTGAGGGAGGGAGGGATGGGGAGTGGCTGCTAATGGGTATGGGGTTTCCTTTTGCAGTGATGAGAATGTTCTGGAACCAGGTAATGGTGATGGTTGCACAACCCTGTGACTATGCTAAAACCACTGAACTGTACACATGAAATGGGTGTGCCCTATGGTATGTGAATTAGATCTCAATAATGCTGGTATGGAAAACAGACAATGGGGAAAACTTAAAACCCCACAGGACACCCGGGAGGGGGCACCTGCCGCGTCAGAGGAGGTCAGGGAAGAAGGCAGTGGCTGAAAACACAGTGAAGTCCTTTTGCACTGCCAGGCGCATATACGATGTGGAAGGAAAGGCATCTGTTTTCTGGGGCTGACTCAGCAGTCTGAGCATGCTGGCTGCGTGTCTGCTTGACCCTCCCCGTGGTGGCACGTGTCTCTGGTCTCTCCTTAGGTACGGGCAGCTGAGCGGCATGGTGGAGCCACTGGCCGGGGTCTTGGGCGCCTTTGCCGTGGTGCTGGCTGAGCCCCTCCTGCCCTACGCCCTAGCCTTTGCTGCTGGCGCCATGGTCTATGTGGTCATGGACGACATCATCCCGGAGGCTCAGATCAGGTTGGAGAGCGAACCGTTCCTCATCTCCCCCTGGCCAGGTTCCCAGTCCCAGGGCCCCAGCCTCCAAATCTTCTCTTTCTTCATCTGTTACTCCTTTCTTCGCTCCCACCCCTTCCGGCCCCTTCCCAGGATCATCCCCATCCCCTTCTCAAACGTGCTCTCAGAAACGAAAGAGAGACGAGCAGGGAGGGTGGAGAGACTGACCAGTGACCCAAGGCAGGGGCATCTACACTCCACTAATCCAGATGATTAGTTTTGTGTATTGTCCCTTTCTCTCCCACCCGTCCCTCTGTGGATTTTTCTGGGGCTGGAACGAGGGGAGAGGTGAGCTCTGATAGCCAAAGCTATCCATCATAGTTTCATTGTGTTGCTATGGGCTGGGTGTCAGGGGGAAGGGGCTTGCTTTCTTTGTTTCATTTGGTTTTTATAGCAGAATGATGTTCAGGCTAGATTAAAAGGTCATACTCAATAATATCATCAAGAATTTAATTGCCACTCTGTATTATTCAAGCATATATTCCAGAGCCACGAGAGGTATCTTTGGGCAGGTTACTTCTGTATGCCTCAGTTTCCCCACCAGTAACAAGGGAATAATGATAGTGCCGATCTCATGTGATCATCCTTTGGGGTTACATGAGTTAGTTTGCCTGGCATTTAGCAAGCCCCAAGAAGTGTTACTTGTCAATATTATTGTTCTTATTAATCATAGTGGTGTACTTTCTATTGGAATTGGACCTCACAGAGGATGCTTTCAGCTTGGATGGTGTCCCAGAGTGCATTAAGGTCTTCCTTCCCTTCCTTCCTAGTGGTAACGGGAAACTGGCCTCCTGGGCCTCCATCCTGGGATTCGTGGTGATGATGTCCCTTGATGTTGGCCTGGGCTAGTGCTGAGATGCTTCGGACCCCAGGAAAAATGGCACCAGGAAACTGCAATGGTTGGCTTCAATGGGACCACAAGCCTCTTCCTTTACATTAAAACACTTTTCCTTTCTCTCCTTTTCATCTCATTATCCTGATTGACTCTGATTATAGTAAGACAGTTTCTACTCTTCTTTGGAGGGAGATCTTGGTTTCATTTAGAATGTCAAGGTGTCACGGAACTCCATATTTTTGTTTGGCCACTGCCTAGAATCTTTCTTTGGCGATATTACCAAGGACGCCCAGATCAGGGAAATCTCTGCTGTCATACTTTCAGTCTCCCTCACTGGGCTCAGTGGCAGCTTCGCAAGGTCACCGCCTACAGGAGCAAGCTACCAAGAGAGAAGCCTCCTAAGCATTTTTGCCTCGTGACTCAGAGCAGAATGGCCACCTCTCATCTGTCCCTCCTGATGGTTCACCATTGATCATCTACCCATGAGATGGGAACTGGAACGTCATGGACATAGGAACCCACTCTCCAAGGTCCAGCCAGCCCAAGAGAACATGCCTTCCTCTGCATCCCCCGAGGGAGATGCTGTATGGGAGGGGACACAGACAAAGGGAAGGAAATAGGTTAGTCTTTCTCTTTCTTTCTTTTTTAATTTTTTTTAAGGCAAAATTGACACTATTGATGTTAAGGGAATTAGGGAATTCAGACAACTATGAACACAGAGTGTGAATGCAGCTTTGATTAGAGACCTCTGCACTCTATGGATCCCACAGCAAAGGGGTTTGTCATGGTGTCCAAATCCCCTAGACATTTATTTCAATAAATTTATAGCCTTCAGTTTTCCAAGAGACTTGGGGACACCAGCGGACAGTTGGAACTCAAATCCTTGTGTAGTTACGGAGGGAGCCACTTAAGCTAACCTAAGTGAGAGAAAGACATTTGGAATCTGCAATAGGTCCTTCCCTGTTGACCATGTGACTTGTAACCTGACCTTGAGCCCTTAGGCTATCGCAGGCTTTGCTGGAGTTTGGCCAGAGAGCTTAGGATGAAGAAGGAAGAAGGCATAGGAAGAAAAAGAGATTTTTTACATTCCCCTTGTAGGGTAAATCTTAGCCAAGTCATCATCCTGAAATGATTCTAAAGGATGACTTGAAGTAGACTAGAAGCCAATCTGCTCTTTCCTACACATAGTTTCTCCAATAGGGGTGATATAATTTGTCTGCTTCAAACAGAGCTAAGTAAGGCCTGCCGTCCTCGTTGGTCCAAGGAGTATGTGGGACCTTGAGTGGGCTCTGCCATTAAGGCGGGCAGCCCAAGACCCAGGCATTCAGGTGTTGTGTTTATCAATGCCCGCCCTCTGAGTTTACACGTTGAATTGCTTCCAAGGGTGAATACCCTGCTCTGTGAATGCTCTGACACCTCAAAAGCCAACCTTATGCTGGGTCTATGTATGTTCTTCTGGAGCACTGATGATCAAAATGGAAGACATTCAGGGGTTTTGATTGAAGTTAACGGGTTTGGTGGTTGGTGTATGTGTATTTGTATGTCTTTGTATGTAGTTCTACATAATGCAAACTTTCTGATGGACAAGACCTCATAACTGTGATTAATATCAATAAAGGGGATATTATTGTGAATGAGCTGTGTTCAGTCCTTCTCCAAGCCGCTTCTTGCCAGGGTTGGTAATATAAGAGCTAACTAAAGTTAGTCCCAACATCTCCCCTACCTAATATTAGTATAAGCCACGGAAAGAGCCCAGATGAGATAGGCCAGTTAGATTCATGGTTTACAACAACAAATCCAACTCCAGCTAACTTAGGAATTTAACGGGAGGCTTTTGGGAGCTCATAAAATCTATAGGAGAAACAATCTTGAAAATGGGCTGGATCCAAGAAAGCTAGAGATCTGGGACCACGACCCAGTCGCATCTCAAAAGCAGCTCGGTTTGGGTGCCACAGCCCCCGATGCTGGTCCCTGGACACGGAAAACCACTCCTCAACCTGCCTCTCCTTGGTTCTACCACCACCACCGTGGGGATGAACTCTAAACTGACCCTGATTCTTTGTGTCCTGGTTCCACATTCAAAGTTCTGGGCAGTAACATCTAAGCTGGCAGAGCTTCCGTCCTGTGTCCATGTATGACCATGAACTAGCTGGTCATGCCTCCCTACCAAGACTCACCAAAAAGTGGATTTTCAAATTTTGGAATGAGTTCAGATAGTGGAGACCCAAAAGAAGAAAGAAAACACATTTATTCCATTTATTAGTCTCACTGTTTTGCCGTTCCACATCTACACACACACTGATTTCTCTGTTCACTTTTAAACAAAGCTTTCTGCTTAGATAATGGAGCTCTCCCTCTTGCAATCGCAACTTCATACTTCCCCTTTCCAAACGGAGCTACCCTAATTGCCAGCTCCCCCAATAGTGGAGCATTCCTTTTTTGGACTCAAAACCTCTAAACTGGTGGGGTCCAAAGGTGAAGAGAGTGAGTTGTTAGGTAAAATGGAGCAGGCACCATCCCCACTCCCCCATCTTCCAGACCTGCTTAGTCTGGCTCTGGGAGAAACAGCCCCACGTATTGATCCCTGGTTCTGAACACTTGTTTTAAAGGACAGTATCTCAACTTCATTAGATACTGTCTCAGGGCTAGTCCTGAAACCATATCTGCAGTAAATCAAGTCACAGTTCAAAACAAATGACTGCTCCTGGGTGATAGACTCAAATCACAAGGGTATCCACCCGTTGCCTTCCCTCTTTGATGGTAAAGTGAATTCCATGGTCAGAAGCAGCATCACATAGAATGCCACGGTGATAGGGAAGCAATTTGCAAATCCAGATATATGAGCCTGCTTTAGTGGGGTGAAATCTGTGCCTCGTCCACAATGAAAGAGATCCAAAGAAATCAGTCTTCAACTAAGTAGTCTGTGGGTGTCTTTGGAACATCACCAGCACCCAGGGTCTGGGCCCAGTCCGTATAAACCACTTCCAATTAGTAATGGAGTTTTGTGAGTGTGTTAGATGACCCATACGTAATGGACAGCCTGGGTCACAATGACACTCAATACTTTAGGGATAATCACCTGCTGTCTTAGGCTTCTCATGCTAGCACAGTAACCCTAGGATCTCTGTAACAATTATAGGTCAATAAATTGAGACTCATTTAGACTTATGTTCTTCCCTCCATTTTTGAGCATCCCAAAAACCTATTCCTACCCATATTTGCCCCCAATTTGTCAGTAAAATTAGAAAAATCCTTGGGGAGGGTATATGCTATGGTGAGCGCTGTGAATTGTGTAAGACTGATGAATCACAGACCTGTACCACTGAAACAAGTAATATGTTATATATTAATTTAAAAAAAAACCCCACACATTTTTGTCATTTACCTGAAATTTAAATTTAAGAAAGAAAAATCCTGAAATTATGTTGGTTTCAAATCCTTATTCGCTCCGGTTTGAGTTTGCCATTGCCCTTCCTTTGGAGGCATGCTGGGATGTAACTCTGATCATTTCCGGAAACAGTACAGGGTAGTGCATGAGGAGAACCGGCTTTCTCTTGGAGGGTGACTCCTTCAGGCCAAGCAATTACAGTGTCTTCAAGAAGTGTTTCAGAAGACGAGGAAAGGCAGTGTGTTTCAGCTGACAGAGGAGGCTCTTTGAGGATTTAGAATTCAGAAAATTCCAAGGCTTTCAAATCCTCCCATATATCTCTGTTTTGCTTTTCTGGGTCCCACTGCTTCCTGACCAGTGCTTTCTATGGAAAACACAGCCACCACCAGCACAGATATTCAGCCAATCATGGGGATCAAATTGTGCATTTGTTTTTCTACCTTTCTCAGCCTTATGGGCGCAAGAGGTAAGAGGATATTTAGGAACCGTCCTAAGAGATCTCTAGGTTTCCATCTTTTCCTTGAGCTCATATTTCAGGCCTGGAGCTTACAAGTGTGTTTTCTCTAAGCTGCTATTAGCACTGCTTGAGGGGATGCCTCTCAGTCTTCACATCCTTGACTGTTTGATGGCCAGAACTTCTTCCCTCGAGGCTTTGTCTTTGATGGGCCCTTCGTTCCAGGTGACTGTAAATTGAGAGATGGGGGTAGGTATTAGCCTCTGGATCTTCTTTGGGGACCTATCAAAGACACTCTCCTCTGCTGTTCTGAGGCAAGGACCAAAAGGCCATTAGGTGAGGACTGTGGGCCAGACGGGGTGCTATGCGCCTTAGTCACCTCCTTTAAGGCTCGACTTCCAGATGATTGCCCCACTTGGCTGACAAGGAAGGTGAGGTCCAGGAAATCTTACTCTGGCCAAGATGGTGATAGGCAGTGGCAGGATTGGTTCTGCTTTGCGCGGAGGAGGCAGAAAGTGACTTCCCCGGACCCTGCTCCCTAAAGCTTTCCAGGTGCAACGTTCTACACCCCTCCACCATGTAATAAATGGTTGAATCTGTGAAAGTTGGAAGCACTTGGGAGCCCAGGGGTCGTTCTTTTCCCCCCTTCCTTCTAAACTGAGGTATGATATATATATATATAACAAAGGCACAGACCCTAAGTGTATACAGTTCCACCAATTTTTACCTACGCGCCCCTGGGCCGAGCCCCGCGACAGGGTCTTGGGAAGCCACAGGCGTGGGCTCCCCAGCTCTCCGGTGCACTCCCCCGCCCTGGCTACGTGCCCTGGTCAGCCGCCCGGCCCGCAGGTGCCACCCGCCTGCCCCGCCAGCTGAGGTTGGGCTGCCTGCGCGGGCGCTCGTTCCGGGGCGCGGCGGGCGCCGGGTCACTGGGAGCCTGCCGGGCCGGCCTCCCCCCCGGGCGCCTGGCGCGGCGCCGGGGCCGGCTTCCCGAGCGGGCTCCGCGGGCTGCGGGCGGCGGTTTACCTGCGCGGGGCGGGGCCGGGGCTCCCGGGACGCGCTGGGACCCGCCCCTCTCGGCCGCCCCGCCTGCAACGAACTCGGAAGGCCTTCACCCCGCTAGGGTGCGGCGAGGCCATTCCGGCTCCACCGAACGGACCGCTGGGTTCCCGGGACTCTGCTGTCTGCAGCCTTGTCCCTTGCAGGGGTGGACCTGGATTGGGGGGTCGAAGTTCATACAATTTGAGGAGCGTTCTCTGGGGAAAATAAAAGGACACACACACAATTAGGCACAGGGCTTTGGAAGGGGCGCCTGAGTCCAGCGCCCCTGCGG